CCAAAAGCTCATTGATCCTTGGATTGGGTGACAATGTCCTTTGGGAGGTCAAGAAGGAGAAGACAACTATTGAAATCTGGAACAGGTTAAATTCTCTCTATCAATCTAAAATTGTCCCTAATAGATTATTTTTAAAGCATAGGTTGTTTGACTTTAAAATGGATGAGTAGAAATCATTGAAAGATAATAAAGATGATTTTTTGAAAGTGATTTAGGATCTAGAAAGTATTTCTGTAGATATTGATGATGAGGATCAGACAATAATCTTGTTGAATGCATTACCTAAATCATATTCTAATTTTGTGGAAATGCTTAAATATGGTAGACAGACACTGAAGTTAGAAGAGGTAGGGGAGGCTATTTCTGCCAAGGATAGTGAAAATAGGATGAGAGATAAAAATAGTTGTGATGGTGAAGGCCTTAATGTCAGAGGGAGATCAGAAAGGAAGAATTGGAAAAAGGGAAGACAAAATAAGAACAAGTCAAAATCTAGGTCAGGGAATAGAAAATGTTTCTTTTGCCATAAGGAGGGTCATTTTAGGAGAGATTGTCCTGAGAGAAAGAACAAGAAGAAACCTGAAAGAGATAGTGAGGGAGGTAGTGCTAGTGTAACATTTGAGGGATATGAAAGTTCAAAGGTTTTAGTTATTTTCGAGGGTAAAACTAGTGAGGAGTGGATCCTAGACTCAGGGTGTACCTACCACATGACACCAAATAGAATATGGTTCAGCTCATTTCAACATTTAGATGGTGGGAAAGTTATGATGAGGAATAATGTCGTGTGTCATATAAAAGGTATAAGTACAGTTAAGCTAAATCTTCAAAGTGGTGTAACTAAAACTCTCACAGACGTTAGATATATTCCTGACCTGAAAAGGAATTTAATCTCACTAGGAACCTTAGATTCTAATGGGTTTAGCTATAAGGCTGCAAATGGCAGCCTTAGTGTAATGAAAGGATCTCTAGTTGTTATGAAAGCTGAGAAAAGAAATGAGTTATATGTGTTAAAGGGTAGAGTGGAGAGTGGGATTGCTACTATTGGGTCAATGGAAGCTCAAGATAGAACTTTATTGTGGCATCAAAGACTTGCACATGTTAGTGAAAAGGGCTTAGTAGAACTAGGCAAGCAAAACCTGCTGTTTGGGGATAAGATTGGAAGTCTAACTTTATGTGAACACTGTGTCTTTGGAAAAATGAGTAGAGTTAAGTGTGGATCTGGTCAACACTACTCAAGTTCACCACTTGAGTATGTACACTTAGATGTTTGGGGGCCATCTAGGCACTACTCACTTGGAGGATGTAGATACTTCATTAGTTTTGTTGATGATTTTTCTAGGTATGTATGAATCTACTTCCTTAAAACCAAGGATGAGACATTCTCTAGGTTTAAAGAATGGAAAGTCATGGTAGAAACACAAACTGGAAATAAGTTAAAGAAACTTAGGATTGATAATGGTCTAGAGTTTGTAAATGAAGAATTTAATAGTTCCTGTAGGATACATGGAATTGTGAGACACAAAACAGTAAGGAATACCTCACAAGAAAATGGTCTTTGTGAGAGGATGAATAGAACCATTTTAGAAAAGGTTAGGAGCATCATGTTTAGTTCTAAGCTGCCACTTAAATTATGGGCAGAGGCAGCACACACAGTAGTCTACCTAATCAATAGAACACCATCTTCAACAATATGTTTTATGGTCCCTCTGGAGAAGTGGACTGGTCATCCTGTAAAACTAGAAAATCTTAGAGTTTTTGGATGTCTAGCTTATGTCCATGTTAGAGAAGACAAATTAAAATCNTTAGGAGCATCATGTCTAGCTCTAAGTTGCCAATTAAATTCTAGGCAGAGGCAGCAAACACAACAGTCTACCTAATCAACAGAACACCATCTTCAGCAATAGGTTTTATGGTCCCTCTGGAGAAGTGGACTGGTCATCCTGTAAAACTAGAAAATCTTAGAGTTTTTGGATGTCTAGCTTATGTCCATGTTAGAGAAGACAAATTAAAATCTAGAGCCATTAAATGTATCTTCTTAGGATGCCCAAATGGAGTAAAGGGCTATAAACTCTGGAACTTAAAGTCTAAGAAATGTATCATTAGTAGGGATGTTGTTTTTAGAGAAGAAGTCCTACTTGGCCTTGAAAAGGATTCTAAAAATTCAGAGGGCAGTCCATTAGGATTAGATTACTTAGAACTAGAATTTCAAAACTCCAAAGTTGATCAAACTGTGAATCAAGGTGGAGTTGATGAGATTCAAGCTGAGGAAAATAATCTTGATAATTTTGTAGGTGATCAAACTGGTGAACTTGAAGATGAGCAGTTGAATCATGGTGATGAGTTAGGGCTGTCTAATTACCAACTATCAAGAGATAGAGTTAGAAGGGTAATCAAACCTCCAAACAGGTTAGGGTATGCTGATCTGGTTGCTTATGCTTTACAAGTTGAAGATGATATGAGTGATGAACCCAAGTCTTTTCAAGAGGCTGTGTCAGGGCTAGAAAAATTGCAATGGCTTTAAGCAATTGAAGAAGAGTTTTCTTCTTTGATAAAAAATGAAACCTGGATTTTAGTAGATAAGCCAAGAAATTGTAGAGTGGTCAAGTGCAAATGGATTTTTAAAAGGAAATCTGGATTAAACCCAAATGAGTCACCAAGGTATAAGGCAAGGCTGGTCGCAAAGGGGTTTACACAAGTGGAGGGCATATATTAAAATGAGATTTTTTCCCCAGTTGTCAAGCATTCCTCTATCAGAATTCTATTGTCACTTGCTGTCCAATTTAATCTAGAACTGGAACAATTGGACATGAAGACAACTTTCTTACATGGAGATTTAGAATAGACCATTTTGATGGAGCAACTAGAAGGATACAAAGATGTTGCAGGTAAAGTTTGTCTGCTTAAAAAATCCTTGTATGGTCTGGAACAATCATCACGACAGTGGTACAAAAATTTTGATTCCTTTATGATTGAAATAGGTTTTAACAAATGCAATTATGATAGCTGTTTCTATTTTAAAAGAGTTTCTGAACTGACTTACATTTTCCTGCTTTTGTTTGTGGATGATATGCTTGTGGCTTGTCATGAACAATCTGAGCCGTCTCGGTTGAAAAAGATTACGAACACCAAATTTGAGATGAAAGAGCTGGGTTAGGCTCAAAAGATACTTGGGATATCAATTATTAGAGACATATTTCATGAAAGTTTGAAGCTGGTTCAACAAGATTATGCTCAAAAGATTCTGCAGAAGTTCAATATGAAGGATGCAAAGGCTATTCAAACATCTATTGGTCAGCATTTTAAGTTTTCTCATGATCAGAGTCCTCAAACTGAAGAAGAAAAACTTGAAATGTCATCAGTTCTTTATGCAAATGTGCTAGGCAGTTTAATGTTTTTGATAATATGTTCAAGACCAGACTTGGCCTACTCAGTAAGTATTGTGAGCAGGTTCATGAGTAATCCAGGGAAGATCATTGGTCTGCATTGAAATGGATCTTGAGGTATATAAAGGGGACCAGTTCAGTAGGTATAGTGTATAGAAGGAACCAGAAAGAAAACTATTGTGTTGAAAGATTTGTTGATGTAGACTATGCTGGTGATGTTGATAGAAGGAAATCAACTTCAGGTTTTGTTTTTACAATATGGGGAAACATTGTTAGTTGGAAGTCTAAACTCCAACACATGGTTACACTATCATCAATTGAATCCGAGTATGCTTCATTAACAGAGGCTGCAAAAGAAGCAAAGTGGCTGAAGGGTTTTGTGACTGAGCTAGGTTTAGAACAAAGGGTAGTAATAGTTTACAGCGAAGTCAAAGTGCCATACATCTTTGTAAAAATCAAGTATTTCACAAACGGGCTAAACACATTGATGTTCGACTCCACTTCATTAGAGAGATGATTGATAGATGTGAAATTAAGGTTGAAAAGGTGGATGGTTCTTATAATCCAGCAAATATGCTTACAAAACCTATTACTGCTAACAAACAAAGGCTCTGTATGAGCCTTCTTAATGTTACATAAGCAAAAGCCTATTTCCAAGGCCAAAAAGGGTGTCAAAACAAAAGCCAAGTTGGAGATTTGTGGTGACGTGGCTTGTGTTTTTCCATGGTGGAGTCAATTAAAATTGGGTTGAGTCAAAGGGTGCAGTGACGTTGTTTAAGGATGAGTTAAAGATGGTTTCTTTTCATGTTATTCGATCCAGCCTTCATTTCTCTCTTCTAACCCATTTGTTCCAAAATGTGTTAATGGGAGAGGACGAATTTTGTTACTCATCTATGGTTGGAAATCCTTGGGGATCCAAATGGAGGCTGATCCTGGAGATGACTGATGTGTATAAATTGATTCTATTTGATATGGATTGGCAGCAAGGGGAAAAGGAGAAGAAAGCTAGGGTTTCTTCGGGTTGTATTCTTCCTTGCTCATTCTGTTTTCATTGTTCAATACTCTGTAAGTTATCTACTTGACTGTGATAGCAATGACATCTTATTTGCGCCTTGACGAGTGGATGCAGGCTACCCCGCCGAACCACTATAATCCTTTGTGTCAATCTTTATCTCTTTACTTGGTCTGATGTTTAAATGCTTGATAATCCCTTGTCTTAAATCTGTGATTACTTTCATGTTAGAAGGTTGTTAGTTAACCTGAGAACTGTAATCTGTGATTGTCTTCTTGTTACACAGTTGATTAGTTAATCATAGAGCTATAATCTGTGAAAACTCAGTTCAAAATCCAACATTATCAATCACAATATCCATATCAAATGTTTGATTGTATATTTTTCTAATAAACTATCTATCACAATCCAATTGCGAATGTCCACACAAGTATAATAACTACGTATATAATAACTATATATATATCTACAAAAAAGAAAAACATATATATATACACCATTTATCATACATAGATAATACGCTTATTCAGTAAAACATTGCAACTTATACTTCTTTTTCAAAAAATCACTGCCGATATATAGAGATATATACTATATAGTAGAGGAGTGATTTTTGAAAAATAAAGTACACCTAACAATGTTTTATCCAACACATGCGTATCATATAATTATGATAAGTGATATATATTTTCGTGTTACAATAATAAAATAAAGTAAGTTAATCAAGGAAGAGAGGAATCAAACGCAAATTCTACGACTGATCGGAGTTCATCCCAATTCTCATATGTCAACAACTCACTCCCATATGGATTCTGAAAGCTTGAAATTGAAGACGACGCCATAGATAATGGCGAATTGATAATGGTATTGCTTAACTGCTCTGCAGCTATGTATTGCTGGTTCCTCTCATAGTTGATATGATGATCAACAAGGGGTTTCATCGGCTTATTAGTTTGATGATGATGATGATGATGATGATGAACAATAGGAGCTTCAAAACTAATGTAGCTTTCCTGATTGTTGGAATCAATAGTATATGTCTTAGAGGTTGATGCCAATATCGAATGACGTTTAGCAGAAGAAGATGAGTCTCTCCAATCTGGTGTGTACTTTCTGTATGACATATTTCGCTTGAAGATTCGACATATAGTCCATACTTCCTGCCATATTGATGAAACACACAAAAATGAGGATGAAAACAATAAAATAACAATAATAAACAATATCCTTTAATCCTATAAAAAAAAAAAAAAAAACCTTTAAGGTTCTCTCATTTTCTTCAATTGCTTCCATATTGTAATCATATAATCTTAAGATACATTCATAATATGTATTTTAATTAGGATCATATTTTTAGAAAAAATCTTAGATATGGAATAATTTAAAGAGGAAAAGTTTAGAAAAAGAATGGTACAATCAATGTATTCGCATGCATTACATTAGTTTTTTCTCGTACATGTTTCAACAACAAATATGATTAGTGATTTCTAAAATGAATATCTATGCAATTGAAAAGTCTATAATACCATTAAAGAATGCATTACAGCATACCAATAAATAAATTTATGTCATATGTGTATTAATTTTCTCTCATCTCATCTAACATTTAATATGATTAACGAGTTTTAAAAGCATATATATGCCATTAATCTATTGACTTAACGTATAAATAATGTGATAAACCAGAATGTTTTTATGACTTAATTTTTATTTGAACAAAATATGAGGTTAGATTAATGGTTAATAATTTAGAATAGAAAGGAAAACAAATATCACAACACATAAATTCATTTGGTAATTCTACATATACAAAATTAGGATCTCAATTTTGTATCCCAGCCTATATATCTGATTTGACGAATTATTTCATTTAGCTCGTTATCCTATAATTATAAAGATGTTATTAAATCAAGTACCATGTCTTTGACATTCAAAGTTTGAGAGCCCAACTGTTGTTTATTGATGTCTCAAAAAATCTGTATCCATGTAAAAACATGGATAATATATATTGCATAAAGCGTGTCGTCTCCAATATATTAACGACAAGTAGATATAAATAAGAAAAAAATGGTGCATATGTATTGCTCATTAATGTATTAAATGGAGTAAGATTCTTATTTTTTAGATTACTAAACACAGAATCTTTATTGAAGAAATGAATACGGACAAACGGTTGACATCCATTTTCTAATCCTTCTATATGTAGATGTAAGTAAACGTGCTTACCGCTTCTTGGAGAATGGTTTTAGCATTGGTGGTGGTAGTATCGGTGGAGGGAAGGCGAAACTCATGCATCATCCAATCAGTTTTGGTGCCTTTTCCTGCACTTCCACGATAGTATACTAGTGTTTTTTTAAGTCCAATGCACTCTTGCCTTTGTCCTCCCTCAGAATGTACTGCCTTATCGATCCCAGTTGCTTTCCAAAATCCAGACCCGGTCACTCTATTTGGCCTTATGCTGTTTCTATATTTTCTCCCTCTTTTGCAAAAGAAGTATCCTTCCTTGTCCAGTGTAGTACTAGTTTCTGCATCATAGTTTAGCCATACTTAGTTAACATAACAAGAAGAGGAGTGATGAGTGAATGATTACCAAAGATAGATATGCATGGAAATGCCCCTAAACAACAAATTAATTAATAAAATAAGTGATCGAGATGCACCAAGTAACTAAAACGTACGGTTAATATTTTGACTTCTTTGATCTCTCTCAAAACTTATTGATTAAAAGGGTTTATGAACAGTTAATACTTAGAAACAATTTTGTCTTCTCCATGTTATTATAGAATCAATAATTTTATATGAGTAACTACTGAACTCAATCACTTGCTACCATTACTCTTCAGTTTTCTGTTAAAGTCTATCCGGTAGAGGTAGTCAAAATTGGACTGCACTTGCAAACTAAGTATTCAACTCGTTTAGAAGCACACAAGGTAGAATCAAAATTATTTATTCGACCCAGTTCTTTAGCGGAATCAAACAATAAGATTAAGCGACTCTAAGTTTCAAAGGCTTTCGATAGTTCGATTAAAGTGTATCAAGCCAAACTATAAGCTCTTTTTTAGGTTAATTAAGAAATTAGGAAACTAATAATATATCCACATATGGTCGTTAAAAACAAATTCAAAAGGAAATTAAATTGAGTATGTAGTCATACTTGGAAGATCCCATGGATCATGCTTGTAGATATCAATCTGTTTGATGAGATCGATACTGATGGGTTTCTTGTCAACTTTTCTGCGAAGATAAAACCCTAAAAGTTCTTCATCCGTCGGGTGAAACCGAAATCCCGGAAGCTGCATCTCATCATCTTCATCCTTAGAGCTAGTCTTGTAGCAAGTATTATTAATTTGTGTGGTCATGATGGATCGATAAACTTTCTCCACAACCTATTCTAAGTTTTTTGTAGCGACGCCGGTTTTGAGCATGAGGTTAATCTTTAATAATGCTAATAATGCTAAAGAAAGTCGTATGAGGGCTAGTTTTTTCTTCAAGTCAAGTCCGTCGATCTTTGACTCTGTTGGAAGACTACGCTCTGGAGGAGCACGAAAGATATTAGAATAAGTCTTAGTTACCACTCAGGTTTTACAACTACCAGTAAATTTTTAAGGCTTTCTAAATACCCAATAAGATATAAATATACTATGTCAAATCCCAATTACACGCGATCATTCTTTAACCATCCTAGCTATTGGTTGCCAAATTAATACACAAATGGTGAAACCTTTTAGTTTAACTGGGTGCGTACTATATAAACGTATAATAGTGTTACATGTATCGCATTATCGAAATATTAGCTACAACTAAATTAAATTTAGATTAATTGGAAATTTCATTCGTGTATGTCCAGGTCACTAAGTTGAAGATATTATGAAATGTTTATATCAATATTACTAGGTGTTGAGATTTTTGTTCTCTTTTCTGTGTTTCATACTAATCACTAATTTGCATAACCTTGAAATTTGTTCAAATAAAAGTTGGACCTTGAGACAATCAGGTTCATGTGGAGGAGGTATGAGGGTGGCATGCTAGTGGACCATAATGCAGGACAAATATCAGTCAAATGATAATGGAATAAGACCCTGTCAAGTTTGAATGCATCATTTTATGATTTGAATTTTATTGAAATTTCAAAACATAAAACAAGATACAAAAAAAAAAAAAAAAAAAAGTGTAGAATAGGTTGTGAACTTTGTATTAAAATAATGAACTTCAAATGTCATAATCTTGAATATCAATTAGCTAGGTCCATAACCTTTTCTCATAACTTTTAATGTGATAGCTCGTTATCGATTAGCTCACAAATGGGCAGGCGGACCCATACAAAGCAAGCAAGATCCATTTTGCGAGCTAACCAATGATAAGTTATCATGTTGGGAGTTGTGAAAAAAGATTGTGAGAATGGACTGTGGACCTAGCATTACTCCTTGAATATTAATAATGTTATATGTACTAAGTTTAATAGTTGATAACATGTCAGTATTACATTAACGGTAGGTTAATGTATAAAAAAATTACTTCCCCACAATTAATATAATGTTAATACCTCATTAATCACATCGGTTGAGATTCCAACTTTATATACGTACTGTTAAAATATTAAATATCATATGTTTAAATTTTAATTACGGTAGGTTTGAAAGAGTTTAGGACACAATAAAATATATTTCTCTCACCCCTAGCCAAATTATTTATTTGTAATGTTTGGTTGTATATATATATATATACACATAAATTTCCCGTTAATAGGTAATATCGTTAAGGGCATTATCAGAATTTGAGGAAAGAGGAATTAATTAAGTCTTGACGGACGAGCAATTTTGAAGAATATTTGCTCTATTCACTTGCACTTTCAAACTTTTCCAGAAGTCTATAGATAATATTCAACTGAAATAAAATAAAAGAAACAATTAAATAAGAAGTTCATTTCGTGAATTTCCATTTAAAGTTTATTATTGAAGGAAGATCACTCATGAAAGTGGAAAGCATTCCATAAAAAGGATTTGACTTTGTTGTTTGTATTCGGTGTTTCAATTTCAAAAGTATACTTTTAATAGATCAATTAAAATATTGAAGGAGTTGAATAATAATCAAAGTTTTGAAATCCAACCGTGTTAAAATCATAAACATATATTTGTTTTCTTCTCTAATGATGCCAAGATTGAATATGGTTTCCTGAAATATTTGCTCGTAAAATGATGAGAACAGAAACTTTCTAGAATCGCGAACAATATTTGACCAATAGGGTAAAACTAATTCGTCACTTGCAGATATATACATCCAAAATAGAAGAAGAAATGGAGAGCTAAAATTGCAAGTAATTTACAGGATTCACGGGTTGATTGTATATATGTTTAGGAACCATATTTTCAATGTTTGACTAGGTGAAAGCTTGACTTAGGTTAAATGTCTCTGTCTCTCTAATTGATCGTGTTGAACTGAAAGGTTCATTGCCGCAATATTATTGGCCCCTTTCATACTTTCTTTATCAACATTTTGTCACTATTCAATGCATCCTTCAAGGGAATTATTGGTATTTTTATATGCAAAATTTGAACTTTTACTCGACATAGGTTCTACGCCAGGAGAGTTTGTTGCAATGATATAAGTAGGTAATATTGCCTTCAAATAATTACTATTAATGTTGTACATCATAAGTTTCGAAAATTGAGTTAAAATGATATATTTATATTTTTTCGCAAAATTAAGTTACATATAGGTGACACAATGAAAGTATTAATTCAAAAACCCTAACCTTTGACTAATCAAAGCTTGAATATTCTTAGTCTCTTGTGAGATAGCACATATCATTTGACCGTACAGATATGTTTCAAATCATAGTATTATGCTATAAAAAGAAAAATAATAAATGGGAATTGTATCCACAAAAGAAGAGACAGGTACCAAAAGTGGATCACCATTTGTGAATTGTATTTTAAAATAAGCAGAAGTCTCTCAAATCTTGCCGAATTAAGAATCAAATAAATACCAAGATTGACTGGATTGTACTATTACCAAGTCAAGAATGACAAACTGGTCAAGTCAAAGGTAGTTCAGCTTCATTTTACTAACATTCAGTCCTCTTTCAAAGAATTTCTCTTCGAAGAATAATACAACCACTCACCTACATCTTATTGTAACTTTTGTTCTCTTCTTCTTCTTCTACAAAATGCTTGACTTTTTATATATTTCTTCATATCTCAGGTAGCTGCAAACACATTTTCTGCTCATATGAACATTATTTTTTTGGGGCTGCAACATTCTATTTCTAGTTACAATTCTCCACCAAATTAGCCTTAAATTAATCCTTATTAACGAGTCTTGGGTTGACCATATAGCCTGAAGGATTGGTATATAGGGCTATCAATCATATAATTTTTATATGAATTTTACTGGAGTTTTGGAAGATATTACCAAACGTTATTCACAATCATAGCGTTTGGTGAGACTTTAATTCGTCTATTATCAATATCTTGAAATTCCAGCTTCCTTTACTCGTCAAACGCTAATTCTATATATGTCTGAGATATGGGATATTTTGATTTTTTAACTAAAATTTTTTATTTGAATATTTAAGTTAATTTTTTTTAAAAAAATTTTTTATCTTAATCTAAAGACGAAAATAAAAATAAAAATAATAAAATCATGGGTAATGTTGACTGTTCATTAATTTTATATCTACAATGGATTGGAATAATCAAAGAATGAAAATTTTTAAGTTTAAATTATGAACGATAAATATATAGACAATTATATTATTCATGTGAATAGTACATCCAAAAACACGTGCTTGAAAACTGGAAGTTCCATTTTTTCTATATGTACGTCGGCCACAGTTTCGTACTAATCAAGAGTACTCTTTGAACAAGATAACAGAGTTTATTCGTTATGTATTAATAAATTAATACACGTGATCGAAAATTCTCAGGACGTCTAGACTGGCTAGTTATACAATAATATGAAAGAAGCTTTCCGTGATCAATAATAGCCTATTAAGAATGGTTTGTTGGTAATTAACAAAGCCAAGGCAGAAGAGAAAAAGTCGAAAGTTTGTTGGTCAAGAAGCAAAAAATTCAGATATGGGGCCTTCGAACCTTCTGCTTCCCGAAGAAAATTAAGGACTATTTCTTTATTGTATAATTCATAACCCTAACATCATCAAATAAGGCCTGGTCCTTTCCCATAACATTTTTTTATTACATAATTTTTTTTTGAGGCATTTGGATTACAATCAAGATGAAAAATGTTAAGAGACCTTAGATGAATATTAATATATAGCTCTTTCAATGCTTTTTACCTAGTTGGACAGGTAGCTGCAACAATTAAAGAGGGAGGGAGAAGTAATTGGCCAACTGGCAAAAATATTCAAGACTTGGAAAGAAATTAAGCAAACAACAATAAAACTTTGTTATGCCAAAAATAAGGGTTGACTTATGCTGACATCATCAAATACCAATTAGAGTTCAAGAAAACTTTCCACCGTCTAGAACATGTCACGTCTCCAAAGGCAAAAAGAATATAATTGTCAATAATCCCGACTCTTTTGTCCTTAGATGAATTTGGTTTGCACGCCTGTCCAAAACCCATTTAATTTAAGGATATTCTTTGAGTTTTCAACGAATGAGAAGGTAGGAGAGATATTCACGACATCAGGCCACTTGCAAAAGTGTAATCATTCCCTTGAGCACAATGAGTATAAATAGGCAGCTCTCCCTCACAAAATCAAGACCAGATACTCTTGAATTCAACAAAGAAATTAGAAAAGACACACTACTAGAAAAAGACTGGCTTGACATTTTCTAAGAACATTTATAACACCAAGCACTTGTAATATCAGATAGTATTTCGCGATCTCTTGTAATCCTGTCTAATGACCAGGAACAAATTTATATAAAAAACACAGTGGATGTAGGATTCACTATAAGTATCTGAACTACTATAAAAACTCTTTTGTCAACTTTATTTTTTTTATGTCTTTGCATGCTACTGTGCAAACAGTACCTCACCCACAAAGTATAATCTACTCACATGTGATTTCTTAGCACTTTACATGTGTGAAGTCGTTGATGTCAAAATCAAGCATCAACAAACTTCATATTGCTACTAATTAATGTTGAATAATCTTTGATCCTAGATGCGGAATTGACAAACTAAAGGGACCAAAATAACTAAAAGATAAAACAAGAAACTTACCTCTAACCATTGATGCTCTCAATCACACACTCACCATTTTCTCTCGCGTTTTGGTTCTTCTAAGCTCTTAGAACACTCAATATATATGATGGTGTGTTTTGTTTTAGTTGAGTTTATGAGCCTAGAGACCAAAATCTCAATTTATAGCCAAAGCTCCCATCAAGCTTTAATGGCCAAACTTAATGGTTGCCATAACTCTGGTTATTATGGTTACAAAAACTGAAAAGAAACGTTTGAAACTGAAGCAAAAATGTTGACCATTAATAAAATAAACTAATTTAATACAAAATTAGTTTTCACTTTTACGTTGTATGTAACGTATATGTAACATTCTCCTACTTGGTCCACACGTTGAAACCATTATTTTCTTAAGAAACAAATACATGAATCATGACGACAAGTCCTCTAAAGACGAGTATTATTTCCATGTATTACAATGCATTTAATTTCTCAAGTTTACTATATATATGACAACTTTACTTAATGATAAACCTTATGTTTATTCTTGGTCCTATAGTTGAATTTTCTCAAATAAAATTAAGGTGCACATGAATATGAGAAAACATCACAAGAAATAAGAGTTTCATATAAACATTGAATATAAAACTACATAATGGAATCAAGTCCCATTTTCTATACATGATCCTTGAATTTCAATGGTGGCATGCCCTTAGTCAAAGGATCAGCGATAATCAATTCAGTACTTACGTGCTCAATGACCACTTTCTTTTCTTTAACACGTCCTCTTATGGCTAAGTACTTAATGTCAATGTGTTTACTTTAACTTCCAGTTTTGTTGTTCTTAGCCATAAAGACAGCAGTTGAATTGTCATAGTACATTCTCAATGGTCTAAAAATGGAATCCATAACTTTAAGCCCATATATGAAACTCTTTGACCATACACCATGTGAAGTAACCTCAAAACAGGAAATAGACTTAGCTTCCATAGTGGAAGTAGCAGTCAAGGACTGCTTGACACTTCTCCAAGATACAGCTCCACCATCCATTATGAAAACATATCCTGATGCTGATTTGCGTGAATCAACACAGCCAACAAAGTCTAAATCTGAATAATCGAGTACTTCCAGATTGTCTACCCGTCTATACATAAGCATGTAGTTTTTGGTTCCTTAAAGGTATCTCATCACTTTCTTTGCAACTCTCCAGTGGTCTATACCTGGATTACTCTGACATTGTCCCAACATTCCAATAGCAAATGCAATGTCAAGCCTTGTACAAACTTGAGAAAACATCAGGCTTCCGATAGCAAAAGCATATAGAATGTTCTTCATTTATTCCCTTTCAAAATCGTTCTTCGGGCATTAATTCAAATTGAACTTATCACCTTTCACAACGGGAGCCACACTTGGTGAACAATCTTTCATCCAAAATCTCTCTAAAACCTTATTGATATAGGTTTCTTGAGACAGACACAAGATACCTTGTAATCTGTCTATATGGATTTTGATGCCAATGAAATAAGATACCTCACCCATATCCTTCATATTGAAATTTTTAGAGAGTTATTGTTTTACCTCATATAGTAAACCCTTATCATTGGTTGCAAGCAAAATGTTATTCACGTACAAAACAAGAAAACATATCTTACTCCCACTAACTTTCTGGTATATACATTGATCCATGAGGTTTTTAACAAATCTGAATAAAGAAATTACTCTATGAAATTTAAAATACCATTGACTAGACACTTGTTTTAGACCGTATATGGATTTCTTGAGCTTACAAACCAAGTGCTAACTAGCACTAGAAGGAAATGCTTTAGGTTGTTTCATATAAACCTCCTCTTTTAGGTCTCCATTAAGAAATGCTATTTTCACATCCATTTGTTGCAACTCAAGGTCAAAATGAGCCACTAATGCCAAAATGATGTGCATGGAATCTTTCTTAGATACAAGAGAAAAGGTCTCCATGTAATCAATTCCTTCCTTTTAAGTGAGTCCTTTAGAAACGAGTCTCACCTTGTATCTTTCTATGTTGCCTAATGAGTCTTTCTTTGTCTTAAAGACCTATTTGCATCCAATGACTTTTGCACTTTTACACAACTCCATAAGATTCCAAACTTCGTTACTCTTCATGGAACTCATCTCTTCCTTCATGGCATTGTACCGTAATTTTGACTCTTTGCAACTCATGGCTTGTGAAAAAGACTCGGGATCACTCTCGACTCCAATACTATAGTCATATTCTTGTAGGTACACTACATAATAACTAGGAATGGCTGACCTCTTAGTTCTAGTGGATCTCCTTAATGTTGTACCTGTGAGTAAAAAAGGCTAAAGGCTAAACCTATAATTGACTTGACTTAGTCAATTGTTTGATAACCAAAACTCCACCGTTTTGATCTTATTTTTAGTTAAGTGTATGTTAGTCAAAACTCCACCGTTTTGGAGTTTTAGTCTTCTTCCTAAATCGTACAAAAGAAGCTTTACTCTTTATAAAGTTTTATCAGATCTGTTAATAAGAATTTTTCCCGATTCTTCTTCTCTTCAACTGTTTTTCGTCTTGTTTCTTGCATGTTCACATGGTATCAGAGCATTGACTAGCGTCTATGGCAAAAGATTCTGGTGAAGAGTCTCGTACTTCCTTGTTGCTTAACAGCTTTGAGGAATTGTTGAGAGAGTCTGTCAATCGCTCCACTTCACAAATTCTTAATGAATCAGCGATTCGTCCTACCTCAGCTCAAGCATCAAGTTTACAAGTTATCAACCCGAAGCTCACACGCAATAACTATCGATTCTGGAGTTCCCAGGTTCTATCTACTGTGGGTTCGCATGAGCTTGAGGATCACCTACTTGGTAAAATTTCGTGTCCTTATCCTCTCTTGGTATCTAATTCTGAAATTGATAAGGATTTAGGTCAAATTAGAGGAAATCCTAAGTCTAGCACCAACTCTATGGAAGATAGGTTGAATCCTGATTATGTGATGTGGAAGCGTATTGACAAATTTCTTGTCAGTTGGTTATTGGCGTCTATATCTGAAAGCATGTTTGGAGTTGTGTCAAAATGTTTCTGTTCTACAGATATCTGGTTTGCTCTTGCAAGTGAGTTTGCCAGTGATTCGAAAGCAAGAGCTTTACACCTTAAGAACTTGTTACAGACTACTCACAAATGCAATTTGAGTATTGGTGATTATATAAAGAAGATGAAAGAAATAGCTGAGAGTTTGTCAGCTAGTGGACTGATTATCTTTGATGAAGATTTACTACAACATATTTTAGAAGGTCTAGGGCCTGAATATGATGCTATAGTGGTGAATTTGACTTCTAGGCTTGAATCAAAGGTTGACATGGTTACGCTGCAAGAAGCTCAGTTTTTATTGCAGAAATATGAAATCAGATTGGAGAAATTTAACTCTACTGATCTGTACAATAGCTCTGCCAATATTGCCTCTGTTAATAACTCTGGAGTGTTGAGTGATATTACAAATTCTTCCTCTGCTATTAAAACCTCCCCTGTTGCTCCTACGGCTGTAATTCCTTCACTGAATTCATTAGGTAATCCTTATTATCAGCAACAATATGTGATTCCAGCGCTTGAAATCTATAATTCCAGTTTATCACAGCATCCATTTACTCCTAGGCCTCTTGGCTCCAACGGTATAGAAGAGGTAGAAGAAGAAGTTTTAGTAAAAACAGATTAATTTGCCAAGTATGTAACAAGGCAGGGCACTCTGCGATTCAATGTTACCACCGGTTTAACTCAGCTTATAATGGAAGTTTTCCTGGCTCACAAATGCAGCAAGCCTCTAATCAACAACAGCCTGTGAATGTTTATGGTTCACATCCACAAGTACCCACTGCTCAGCATCCTCAATTTCTCACTGCCTCACACTCTCATACTATCCAGCATTCACCAATTCCAACTGCTCAACATCCCTTTACTGCTTATACCACCAACACACCACAGCAGTAGCCACTTACCTCATATCAGCATCCTTTGCCTGGTTCTTTTTCTTCTAACTTCACCAATAACTCATAAAATATAGCCTTTTCACAATCTTCACCTGAGAGTTTCTCACCAACTTCAACTCCTCATGGTGTTTCTGGTACACCACTGTCAAGATCCAGTCAGGCTTTTCTTGCTGCTACTCATCAAAACAATAGTGGACATCCTAGTTCAGGCTCACAACCTCAGTCATCACCAGTACACACTGCCCTTGCTACTTCCTTTACTCCTTCAGATCCTGTGTGGTACATGGATTCAGGAGCCACTGATCACGTTACAGCAGACCTGAATCACATGAGTATTAGTAAGAATTATGATGGTGTTAGTCAACTTCAAGTAGGTAATGGTGCATCTCTTCCTATTTCACACACTGGCCATACCTCTTTACCTAGTCTTTTTCAATACAAGAGCCTTTATCTCAAAAATATCTTGTGTGTACCTGCAATTACCAAAAATCTATTGAGCATCTCTAAATTTACTACTGATAATGATGTTATTGTTGAGTTCAATGCTGATTGTTGCCTTGTTAAGGACAGGTTGACCAGAGCAACATTACTGCAAGGGGAGCTTAGAGGAGGCCTTTATCAGTTGAATATTCCACACTCCAACTCTGCTCATTCATCGTCATCTTCTTCCAGTCATTCTGGTGTGTCTAAACCCTGTCTACCTATGTCTCGTATCTGTAATAATAATTCTACTTCTTGTGGAAATATGTCTAGTTCTTATCCTAATATGTCAACTGCTAGTACTTTGAAAAATAAAAGCATGAGTTGTAACTCTGCACAGTCTATGGTTAACAATGCTACTAAGTGTAAAGATCTTTCTATCAATAATAATAAAACTTGAATTCTGATATTTTTTGTTTTAATGCTGGTACAATTGATGTTGATCACATGATATGGCATAAACGCTTAGGACATCCTCATTCTCTCATTTTACAAAAAATTGTTGCTAGTTTGTCTAAGAATACTGTCTCTAAGAGCAAGTCATCATCCACTCATTCACTTGCATTTTGTGATGCATGCCAACTTGGCAAATTACATCTCACTAGTTTTCCTCCATCCACATCTCAAGCTACTGCACCCTTAGAACTTATACATAGTGATATTTGGGGTCCTGCCCCGTTACCTTCATTAGAAGGTTTTCGATATTATGTACAATTTTTGGATGACTATAGTCGATATACTTGGCTCTTTCCTCTTAGAACTAAATCAGAAGTTAAATCGGTCTTTATTAAATTTCATAAACTTGCTGAAAGGCAATTTGGTCATAAAGTCAAGTGTCTCCAGTCAGACCAAGGAGGAGAATACATTACACTACATTCTTATCTCACTGATTTAGGAATTAGATTTAGACATTCTTGCTCACATATACATCAACAAAATGGTAGATGTGAGCGCAAGTACAAACATATTGTTGAAACTGGTCAAACCCTTCTTGCTCATGCATCCATGCCTTTACAGTTTTGGTGGTTAGCATTCGAAACTGGAGTATTTCTCATAAATAGGATGCCCACAACTACTTTGGCTTACTTGTCTCCTTACCAAAAATTATTTCAATCCCCACCTGTTTATGAGTCATTGAAAGTTTTTGGATGTTCTTGCTTTCCATTTCTTAGACCTTTTAATAAGCATAAATTTGACTTTCATTCTACCAAGTGTGTGTTTGTTGGCTATAGTCTAGTTCATAAGGGATATACATGTTTGAAACCAGATGGAAAAATTGTTGTCACTCCGTGTGTCAAGTTTAATGAGTCAGAATTTCCTTTTTCTCATGGCCATGTTTCTTCTTCTTCATCTCCTGAGCTGTCATCTGAATCAAATATTTCCTCTGGTCATATACAATCTCTTCCATTTCCTGTCATCACTACACAAAGTCCTCATTCTTCAACGGAACAGGCCCCTCTTCCCTCTGCAGTAACAAGCTTATCAAAACTATCTGAAAATGGCACTTCAGCACTAGGTACTTCTTCCTCTTTTCCTTCAAACTCACAATTGCATATTTCTCCCTCAATACCTATTGCACCTCATGATTCTCGTAGTACTTCATTAAATAGCGAACATTATTCCTCACATACTCATATTCCACAACCTGCTTCTTCTTCACAATACTCACCTGATCATTATTCAACTAAGATATCATCCCTTCCTGTTATACCACCTGATACTAGCCTGCCATCCATTCCAATTGAAGTTAATCTTACACTATCACAGTTCTCTAATACTCTTCAACCCATACACTCTACACAACCACCTTCCACACATCCTACCCAATTGAATTCCCTTAACCTTCACCCTATGTTGACCCGAGCCAAAGCATTAGCCATGTCTTCCTCTGCTAATGCTGTAGCAAATCCCTCCACTGTTTTTCTATTGGAATAGCATGTTATTGAGCCAGAACCCAATTCTGTTGTTGAAGCTTTGGCTAATCCTAAGTGGAAAGAGGCAATGCAATCTGAATTTACTACTCTGCTAAAAAATCAGACTTGGACACTGGTTCCTCTTTCCTCTAATGTGAATGCAGTAGGGAACAAATGGGTATTTAGAACCAAGTATAATGCAGATGGTTCTTTGCAAAAATACAAGGCTAGGTTGGTTGCAAAAGGTTTTCAACAAACCCTTGGACTTGACTACTTTGAAACTTTTAGTCCAGTTGTTAAACCATCCACTATCAGAATCATTCTCACCTTGGATGTTACACATGGCTAGGATGTTAAACAAATTGATGTCAACAACGCATTTTTAAATGGTACTTTAAATGAAGAGGTATACATGAAACAACCTCCTGGTTTTGAGGATCCTCACAATCCTACATATGTGTGCAAGTTGAATAAAGCTCTTTATGGGCTTAAACAAGCTCCAAGGGCTTGGTTTGATCAGTTAAAGGATGCCCTCCTCAGCAAGGGTTTTGTTAATTCTGTCTCTGATTCAAGCCTATTCATTTTTAAGCAAAATTCTTTACTAACCTATGTGTTAGTCTATGTAGACGACATTCTTTTGACAGGATCCAGCTCAAATTACATTACTCAGCTTATGAAGGATTTAAATGATCAGTTCTCACTCAAAACTCTTGGTTCATTGCACTATTTTCTTGGCCTGGAAGCTACACGAAACTGCAGTGGTATCCACCTGAAACAAACCAAATATGCAGCTGATCTATTACTCAAAACCCGCATGAATGAAGCTCATCCTTGCTCCACTCCTATGGCCGTTGGTACACGGTTATTCTCAGGTGATAGTGACTTATTCGAGCAACTGAGTTTGTACCAAAGCACTATAAGGGCACTTCAATACCTTACACTTACAAGACCTGATCTTAGCTTTCCCGTTAATAAGCTTAGTCAGTTCCTATCAGCTCCTACAACTCTTCAATGGCAAGCATGCAAGAGAATTCTTCGGTATGTCAAAGGAACACTAGATTATGGTTTACACTTTCAACCCACTTGCTCTCTCAATGTGGAATGTTACGCCGATGCGGATTGGGGAAGTAATTTGGAGGATCGACGCTCTACTAGTGGATGCTGTGTATACATGGGACCCAATTTAGTTCAGTGGAGTTCAAGAAAGCAGCGAGTTGTAGTCCTTTCTTCCACTGAAGCTGAGTATAGAGCATTGGCTCAAACAGCCACAGAGATAGCATGGTTGCAGAGTTTATTCACTGAACTAGGAATTTCTATAAATATTAAGCCTGTGATATGGTGCGATAACATTAGTGCAGCAGCATTAGCTTCTAATCCGGTCTTTCATGCACGCACCAAACACATCGAGATAGATGCACATTACATCCCAGAGCAGGTATTAGCTAATAAAGTGGCAATTCAGTATGTACCATCCAAGCTTCAAATAGTTGATGTTCTTACAAAAGCTCTATCTGCTTCCCAATTTGCTGAATTACGCTAGAAATTAACAGTGGTAAGTGCTGCTGAAATTTGTACTTAACACTGTGACAGAACTGAAAGATTGTTTCCTCTGCTTTGATTCATATTACTCATCTATTGGTATAATTCAGGTGGTCTAAGATTGAAGTTTCTCTTTTTGTGGTTGCTTTGCTCTGGTTCACTACTAGTTCTTTGCTTGTTAGTTTGGTTTGGATCAGCAGTCCAGTTTGGATCAGTTGTTTAGTTTGGTTTGAATCAGCAGTTGTTCAGTTTTTGGATCATTTGTTTAGCCTGTTTTGGATCAGCAGTTTAGTTTTTTGGATCAGGTGTTCAGTTTGATTTGGATCAGCAGTGGTTCAGTTTTGGATCAGGTGTTCAGTTTGATTTGGATCAGTGGTGGTTCAGTTTTGGATCATGTGTTCAGTTTGATTTGGATCAGCAGTGATTCAGTTTTGGATCAGGTGTTCAGTTTGATTCGGATCAGTAGTTGTTCAGTTTTGGATTAGTTGTTTAGTCTGTTTTTGGATCAGCAGTTCAGTTTTGGAATAGTTTTAGTTTGACTTTGCAAATGTTCTTCTCTTAGTTCAACATGCAATTTGCAGTTGCATTTGCTTTCTTCAGTTCTTTAAGTTCAGTTGCTTTTGATGGGATTATCATTCAATGACAATAAGCATGGTTCCTCATTCAAAAGTTCAGATTAGTCTGATTGTCTTCCTCAACATTCTATGAAGCTGGGTTTGAGGGGGAATGTCACTAAATAGTCTTGCTTCAGTACGAGCATTATTCACAACTCATGGAGCTTGGTTTGAGGGGGAATGTGAGTCAAAAAGGCTAAAGGCTAAACCTATAATTGACTTGACTTAGTCAATTATTTGATAACCAAAACTCCACCGTTTTGGAGTTTTAGTCTTCTTCCTAAATCGTAAAAAAGAAGCTTTACTCTTTATAAAGTTTTATCAGATCTGTTAATAAGAATTTTTCCCGATTCTTCTTCTCTTCAACTGTTTTTCATCTTGTTTCTTGCATGTTCACAGTACCATCATCTTTATGAGAAGCTTGTGGTTTAAATGGTTGTTCAGGAGGTTCTGTAATTCCTGAACTAC